GCCAGAACAAAACACAGGGCCTTCAGCTGCAAAAAAAATCATGAAATTCTGTCAGTCTGAACTAATCGAGAAACCAAGTGGTGTATCAATACCCCGTTTAAAGGTATAAAAGTGTCAATGATCAAAAAGAAGTAGATTAGTAGAGGGAATTTTACACTCAGTTCCTAAATATTGCCTTCTGAGCTCTGTAATACCTTTAAATTGCTGCAATAAATGATTTAACCACACTAATGCCAATAAATATTTTAAAGGCTTAGTTTTACTTCCACTCCAAGTTAACTCAGTTAAAAATAAGGTTCTTTACACCTCTCAGCCCAGTCTCTTTTAAGATATGGTACTGAACTGCTCTTTGGTACAGTGTAAACTAGTTAGCTGGAGTGACAATGGACTGCTCTGCTCTCAGACTAACAAATACAGTTATTCCCTGTTTATTGTACGCTAATGATTAACTTTTATGAAATAAGCATCAACAATTTAGTTATGGTGTTTAAGGCAACAGTGGAAAAAAAGGTTCTTCTGCTAGAGACAGTTCTTCTGCTGTTATGGCCTCTGTTCCTCCACTGCTAACACTCATCTAAGGAATCCCAAAAAGCTTCTCCAGGGTTTTGGTAGAAAAAGCAAGATTCTGGAGGTGTAAGTTTTAGATTTGCTTTCCTCAAGTGGCAGCTAACAACAAGCTCTACTTACACACTACCTCTACAACAGTTTTCCTTCCTCAGAAGACATCTGCCATAAAAATAAACCAATCTGAAGCTTTTTAGTCCTTCAGATCTCCTCAGATATTTGCATGGATGCGACATTTCCATCTACAGCTATGAAGCCACCACCTTAGCTATGCATTTGCTTCTTATGAATCAGCTTATTGTTAACAGTCTGTCTAGCAATAACCACACACCAGCAATCAGCTCACTGGATCAGCGATACATTATCTGGAAATTTAACCACATCTGCATTTGTGCCTCATTAAAGAAGAATCCACTGTAAAGTCTGTGTTAAAGATTCAAAGACAAGTCTTTTTCCTGAGATTTCTTGTTTTGCATTCCATTCAGCAATAGAGTTGGAAATCAGCAGGAACATGCAATTTATTTTTAAACTGAAAAACAAACAGGCAAGAAAAATAAAACAACCAAACTGTACTCACAAACTCCCAGAGCACCGTATTCTCAAAAAGTAACCTGAAGCATCTTACAAAATGTGTAACTGCTATTTGAAATACTGAATACATATATTTGTCACTGCTGTGAAGTTAATTTATTTCCACTCTCATGTGCACGCACACTTACACATGAGCAACGTTCTCCTCTTAGTACAGGGAATCCCTGCTTTCTAAATTAGTAAACCTATTTCTCCAAGATGTTTGGAAGGAGAATAGGGGAAGATTATCTTAAAATGACAGAGGACAAAAATGGCTTAAGAACATCTCAACTTTTATTATCTTTAAGAACTCTACAGGTTAATATCTAAATGGAATAGAGGCTCTAAAAGATAAAGTTTTACATTTGCAGGTTGCAGGTGACTGCAGTATCAATACTATGGTCTCTTCTTCACTGAAGAGTTTTAGAAAGAGTTTTGACAAACCAGTGGCAAAAATAACAAAGTCTGATCCTGGCTTAGAGCAGGGGAACAGAGCACAGGAAACCCTTTGAACCCTGTTTACTACCATCTGTACCTGCCACTGAAGGCAACAGAAGCCATGCAAGCTCAGCCTGCTTCTGCATGAAAACCATTACCTAGGAGTGTTTGTTCTTCAGCGTAATGACTATAAGGACCTGGATTTATTGTTTGAGCTACTGTTCATATGTAGCTTTAAAAACAATCATTTCACTTGCTGCTTACTTTTACAAAAGGAAAACAAAAGCTTATCAACTCTGCAAACACACCAGGCAACCTGACTGAAATACTAACGTTTTGAATACTGTTTCAACAGCGTTTCTTCTTAGATGTGTTAATTATCAACAGAAATATAACAGAACCTAGTCAATTATTAAGGCTGGCTTCAAGAATGAGGAATTAAGTGTATGAAAGCGGAAAGCAGGATGAATATAGAAGGGCAGCGAGGTCTGAGTGGGAAGGCTCACATGTGGTACTGTTTATGTTCTGGCAGGCTGTAAGAAACCAGCCTGCAAGTTCCTTCCTGCCCCGTTTTCTGTAGTTCAGTGATATTCTGAGCTTAAGCTCCATATTAGCCTGTTTCTTTTTATTCTCTCAGCCACTCCTCTTCTGTGGGGTACCTGAAATGACGATAACGCGGAGCTCTTTGCTTTTGGCGTCATGCAGCAGGTCCTCCTTCAGCGCCTGCAGCATGGAGAGGGACAGGGCGTTTCGCCTCTTGGGGTTGTTCAGGACAATGCTTCTGCAAAAAGCCGTTACATACAGAAGGTTAGCACAAGCCAAACAAACAAACAGAAAAAGAGCAAACTTTCAAAACGACTGATGAACCCCACACGCCCCAAGCGTGCACACGGAAACTCCGCGAGGCTCCGCGCTGCGCCCACAGCCCCTAACCCTTCCCCCCCGAGTCCCCGCTGTCAGAGCCGCCCCAATGCCCACCCACCCGCTCTCAGAGCCCCCTATTTTCTCCCGATTCCGTCTCTCCGCAGCTCACCGGACCCCATCCGCCTGCCGCCTCAGGGTGAGCTTCTCCGGCGGGGCCGCGCTGCTGCTGCTGCGGGCTGCGGCCACAGGCCCGGCCAGGCACCGCCTCAGCCTCCACAGCCTGGCGGCCGCCGCCATCTCCCTGCCCGGCTCGCTACTGACCCCTAGCCCGGCTCCTGCCCGGCCTGGAGTTCAGCCCCGGAGGGCTGAGGGAGGGCTGGTAGCCGGAGGGAAGCCGGCCCCAGTTGCTTATCCCTCGGGGAAGCCGCTTGACCCGGCTCGGGGCGAGCCCCCCCAGCCCGCTGGGCTGGGCTTGGCTTGGCCGGGCTTGTTGGTGAAAAAGGAGTGAAATGTCTGACAGGAATGTGTCAGCTCGGAGCCTCAGAAAAGGGAGATGTGCCCTGTTTTGGGGTTTCACCCCGCTGGGAGGCTGTGGGCTGCTCAGGAGGGGATGAGCAGTGTCCCCTCCTGAAGCGTGAGGGGACAGAGTAAAACCCTGCGCACCTTCCCCCGCCGTCCTCACCCGTTCTGTTCTCCAGCCAAAAAAAAACAACAGATTTCCCCAATGTGTTGACTCCGAGATGAATAAAAAGGGTGAAAAAAAGATGGAGAGTGTCCAGAGGAGGGCTACGAAGATGGTGAAAGGCCTGGAGGGGAAGACGTACGAGGAACGGCTGAGGGCACTGGGCCTGTTCAGCCTGGAGAAGAGGAGGCTAAGGGGAGACCTCATCGCAGTCTACAACTTCCTCGTAAGGGGGTGTCGAGAGGCAGGAGACCTTTTCTCCATTAACACCAGCGACAGGACCCGCGGGAATGGAGTTAAGCTGAGGCAGGGGAAGTTTAGGCTGGACATCAGGAAGGGGTTCTTCACAGAGAGAGTGGTTGCACACTGGAACAGGCTCCCCAGGGAAGTGGTCACTGCACCGAGCCTGACTAAATTTAAGAAGAGATTGGACTGTGCACTTAGTCACATGGTCTGAACTTGGGTAGACCTGTGCTGTGTGAAGAGTTGGGACTTGATGATCCTTAAGGGTCCCTTCCAACTCAGGATATTCTATGATTCTATGATTCTATGATCTTTCATGTAAAGATGTGGAGGACATACATTGTAATGTGCTCTTCTACACTGCAGACCTGAATCTTTGAAATTGAGGACTGCAAGAAAAAAATAAGTGAAATGTCTTCTCCAAATTAGCTGGCACATTGCTAATGCAGTCAGGAGAATGGTCCACTTCCTCGCTTCGTATAACCCACTAGATACATTCTCCTGAATGAAGTGACAGATCTGGAATTGAGAGGGGACTGGGGTTATCGATGTGTGATAAAACCACTGGGGCTTCCTTGGACACTCTTGTATCAGAAGACCTGGATGGGAAGGTGGCATTCATTAATGGGTATGTTGGGGGTGTTGGAGGGCTGCGGGTACTTGAAAAACTGACATTTTCACTACATTTTCTATATTTGTATTTATGGGCCATGGGAAGAAGATTAGGACTGTGCTGGGAAAACTTGTGACACTTAGCTTGGGATGTGTCATTGACACAGAAGACAATTGTGTTGTACAGAAAGAATGAGATTGCTTTGAGGCCTAGAGTAATTGGCATAGAATGAAATTCAGTGCTACAGGGTTTGGGGTCGTATACTTGGGAACTAGTAAGATCATCTTTCATGCAGTGGTTGTGGAGAAGCACTCAGGTGTCCTAATTGGTTCCACAGAGTCATTCTGCAATCTGTACATACAAAGCATCCAAGAAACAAAAAGGGAAATGAGATTTTAAGATGATTCAAAGCATTTTAGGGACATATAGGTAAAGGTATATTCACAGCTTGTCTTGATTATTGCATATGCTTCTGCTCTTCCATGTAAAAGAAGCCAAACAGTAAGAGGGGCAGAGAGAATAGAGTTGAATCGAGACCCTCTGTTATGAAGGATGAGAACAGTGTTATTTCTCATGTCCAACAAAACAACTCAAGGGACATAGGACTGCTCTCTCCACAGGGTGGGGATTTTGCAATCTGAGAATTCAAGAAGCTATGCAAGATGGAGAACTATGCTGGCAGTAAACTGAACATTAACATATTCGAGACCTTTTTTCTTTCTTTTTTTTTTTTTTTTTTCCTAAGATGGAGCTGAGCAGGCTTCTGAAAAAGGTTTAGGATGTGCTTGCTTAGGTTACCAGGGAGATGGATTTGAGGAGGTGGACCCCTTTCTATCTGTCTTTCTGCTGAACCCCAAAGCTCTCCTTTGCCACTTCTTAGTGCTATGCATAGTAAATCTTTCTAGTCTGAGAAATGTGCAACTCTCTGCAGACCCTGATTACTTAAAATAGTTCTTCAAAAAATTGTTGCTTTGCAATATAACCTCTCACATTGCTTTCATGTTGCTGTTCTCTGTTTACTCGCAGGAATTATGACCTCTCTTTCTTCACACCTGGCTCAGGCAGTCCTCCTGGGAAAGAAGCAGCTGTGTGGATGAGGCAGCTAGCAAACAAACTCATCTGCCATGGGATGCTGACAAGCCTGAGGACTGAGCAGCACTGTTCAAGGAGATGCAGGGTGCCCCAGTCATGATTCCCTTGTCTTCCTTCCTTATCACTTCTTCTCATCACGTATCCTTTCCTAAAAGCTAGTGGAAGGTATTAGTAATTCAAATGTTTTCTGCACAAGTGAATCTTCATTGTTTGTGCTCCATTTTCTGTCAGAGCCATAGGTACTCTAAAATGAAATAAATATATGTCCAGCAGAAGTTCTCTGTAAATGTAGATCTATGTTTCTGCTTCCTCATCTCCCCGTTGATGGGCTTTGTGGCCCTACTGTAGTAGAAATAGTGGTATGTACATTTTATAAATGTTGAAGGACAGTGGTATGTACATTTTATAAATGTTGAGGACTCTGAGAGCTAGGTCTGGACTTGACTTTCCCCAGTTGCCTAATTACGTTTTGATATGGTTCGTGCTTCATGATCATTCGCTGAAAAGTTCTTCCAAATATTACTTTTAATATATGATAGGAATCTGTGGAAAAAATTGCTCATCTAGAAGAACACCAGATCATTCTAAATTGATCACAGCAGTTCTCAGAATCCTTGCTTGGCATGGCAAAGGCCAGCACACAGTGAACATGACGTGTTCCAGCTCTGGGAGGAGTTCACATTCCCCTGCAACACTGGCCAGCAACTTCTTTCAATCCCTATGTCTTCAAAGTTGGTATTGTGAGTTGCAGTCTTTTTTTTTCTTTTCTTCCAGTTCCCTCTCTTACTACATATTGTTGTTCTCTCCATTTCCAATTAAATATATTTTTTGGTCTTCTCAAAATAGCTTGTTTTTAACATAGCATTTCCAGCTCCCTGGAAATTCTGTTCTTTTTCACTTTGATTGACAGCCTCATGTTTCCTTTCACACCCTCCTCCGTCACAGATTTTTTTTTGGCTGCAGCTTCCCCAATGTATTAAACAGACCTGCTGCTGCCTTCTCTGAGAAAGTGTTGAAAAAAACTTTTCCAATTTCAGACAGCTTTCCTTTTTATAGCATTTGCTAGCAGCATTGCGGTTTTGGCTGAGTTCACACTTCCAACTGGAGACAATTAGGAGCCAGGATTGCAAGTACCAGGCAGGGCTTTTCTAACCTTTATCTTTATTGATCTTTCATATAAAATAAAAAGGGAGACGATAAGGGACTTAATGCAACTTTATTTTTAGATCATTACAGAAACTTCTCAGGGTTTCACAGGGTGCTAGGAAAAGACATTTCAAAATTCAAGCATGTCTAGTTGTCATAATGCACTCTCGGGTCCCCATCCTAATGTTGTTAGGTAAAATGCACAGACAGCAAAAATAGCATACAGAATCCCCTTTTTATGCGGCACAACTATTTATTTATATCTTTATTTGCTTGGCTTTCAGTGAGCCCAGATGTGACATCTACCTTTTAGGAGTGCCTGTTTCACCCCAGTGGCCAGTGGTGGCCAGTCTAAATAGCAGCTCATCCCAGGGTAAAGGCAGACTTTGTGGAGATGAGGCTGAAATGTAAAACTGCTAAAGGGAAGCTGTGTGTGCATACACATATATGAACAGGAGTAAATACATGCATAAAGACACTTCTACCTATTAATTGGGGTGCTGTGATGAAAACATGGGACTAGTCTATGGAACATAAGGCAGGCCTGTTCCCTGCTGAATTTCATGCAAATTATTTATCTTGAAATGTACCAAGCTGCCATTCCCAGGGGATCCTGTGACCTGATTTTCAACACTTCTGAGGGCATTCAAATCCAACTGGGAGCCAGTTCAGCACCTTTAAATCTCAAGGACTGCTTAAATTCCAGGCAGGTGTGTAGCAGCTCCACAACAACAGGGAGAGGAAGGCCCTGTTGTACATCTAGGACAAGGAAAATAATTTGCTTTCCTTCTTTGTGTATTCTGCTAGCAAAGAGATAGATTAGTGCTTAATGGTTTCTCTGATGTGGAATCCTGTGGGATTACCTAAAGAAAAGATTCAAAAAGGTTTTGCATACTTGTGCCTTTTAGCCAAAGGTCTCCCAGCTGAGACTTCCATGATGGTGCTGTCCATGAAACATGTTTTACTGTATTCTTAGACAATTGTCTATGCTGGTATTAAGACAGAAATAGTACAGAAACTTCAGGACAGTACTCGCTTGGACTGGGATTTTCTAAAGACATGATGCCTTTCCTCTGCCCACTGCTGGAATTTATATGACATTACTACCTAACCTTATTTAGATCCTAGAATTATTATTTTTTCTTTTTTCTTTTTTCTTTCTTTCTTTTTTTTTTTTTTTTCCCTTTGAAAATACATTCTAATTTTGTTAGTCACAGAAAGACATGCCATGTATTCATCTCCTAGCTGAGGACTAGCTTCTTTCTAATAATTCAAAATCAGTTACAGAATTACTGTATAGCATACATAAAAGCTTAGTCTGTACTCTACGAGAAAATGATTTTTTTTTCTTTTTTTTTTTTTGGTTATTGATCATTCTGCTAAAAGAAAGGGCTTGAATCCAGTTTTAACTCTGTAACTACTATTGATGTTTTGTAATAAACTGAACCAGGGTGACTAGCTCAACACCTGTCGCTCCAGCCAGGCTCAGAGTAGGTATTTATAACATTGCCTCCAGTAATTACATTTTGCATTCTTCCAGCAGACGAGGCAGTGTCCTGTTAGGCTCTGGCATTAAACAAAGCTCCCGGTGTCATTACTGCTGCGAAGCTCAGAGCTTTTTCCCTGTCACTGTGTGGCAGCACTGCTCCACATAACGCATGCTGCCTATTTCCCTTCAGCTTCAAGACCAGGTGAATGATCAAAGCCCTTTTGTTACTCGACTTCTCCCTCTTCATCTTTATTTGCTGGTTTTCTCTTATCCTCCCCATACTTGTTTTTCATCCTTCATTGTCCTCAGAGGTTTCAAAGTGATTCATATTCCCCTGGCTTTCGCATTGGATTTTTCTTAGGTGCCTTCCAATTATGAGATTCTTAAGATGTGAACAAGGATCATCATTATGAAATAACATTGGATGCTATGAGAGACGATATAAAGAAGGCATTCATTCCTGTCCTGTGAGTATGTATCTTGAGGTCCCTGATGTAAATACTTAACCTTGCAAGGCTGCCTACACAATCGATAGAGACGCGCGCTCCTCCGGAGGGCTGGTCAAAGCATCTCCATGAGATGCCTGCTCCAAACACCTCTCAAGGCTGCCTGCTTCTCTCTACTGATAGCGTAGGGAACCAAAGGATCACAGTCAGATGCCTCTGGCAGATGGTGCCAACGCTCCCCTCGCCCCCACAACAGGGTACAAATCCTGGTCACATCCAGTCACCTCGAGGAAGAATGGAGCAGGAGAATCCTCTGAGCCTGGCTGTCTTCTAACCTGGTGTCTCAGGGCTCGCTTCCAGGTGTCAGTGACTCTCTGCTGTGATTACTGCTACAAACATTGCTGGACATTGTAGCTGCTGGTACAGGCCCAGAGCAAAAGTTTGTCTAAAACCTCCTTGGGAATAGCTACTTTTGTTTGATGGGCTTTTTTCCAAGCCAGTTCTGCAAAGATCAATTCTCACCACAAAATTACACCCTCTACCCACCTTGCCCTCCCCTCTGACAGTAGCTTCTTTCCTTCACAAAATACTTTTGATTTTCTGGACTCTTCCTGTTCACCTGTTTCATTTGTTTTCAATGAAGTAGGATTTTTATCCAATACGAATACGAATCTTCCAAATGAGTGTGATTTTTATAGGGAAATGGGAGAAGCAGCAGAATCCTAATAGATAGCAGCTCCTATGGGCAATACCGGCAATGTCAAAAGTTTAGTGGGGATAACACCAACAAAATTCACCTTGGCTAGAAGAGTTAGTGCAGTCACAGAATTAATTTGGTGAGAAGCTGAAGCCTGGCATGTCAACAGTAGATGGGGGCTGGAGGAGGAAGGGATCAAGTGAAGCGTTTCTTGCTAGGAGCTTGATCCAGAGCAGTGCTCACTAATGGGTTATCAGCGACTTTATCTTTGTGTTGACCATCTTTGTGCCATGTCTGATGTGTCACCAAGGAGGTAGGACAAGGAACCACCAGAGAAGCTGCTCACTGTGCTTTTTCTTCTCTTGGGCATGAGGAACAGCAGGCAGGACTTTAGTCTCAGACTATAAATCAGCACAGGACCCTGATGGGGACTGCAATACGTGGTCTTTTGGGCACAGGTGACAGAACCCCAGCAGCAGCAAAGCATAAAACCATTCCTCCTGCTGAAACCTGTAATCTATAACCCATTGATCTTATCAATGTTGGATCTTATCAATGTGTACAAATACCCGAAGTGTGGGAGACAGAGGGATTTGGCCAACCTCTTTTCAGTGCTCTGTGGGGACAGGACAAGGGGCGATGGCCAAAAAATGGAGCCCAGGCAGTTCTGCACCAACACGCGAAAGAACTTCTTTACAGGGAGGGTGATGGAGCACTGGGACAGGCTGCCCAGGGAGGTTGTGGGGTCTCCTTCTCTGGAGATATTCAAGGCCCATCTGGACGCCTACCTGGGCAGCCTGCTGTAGGGAACCTGCTTTGGCAGGGGGGGTGGACCTGGTGGTATCTGGAGGTCCCTTCCAACCCCTTCAATTCTGTGATTCTGTAAAAAAAAAACAAACTCTCCCCGCTGTGGGAGGATGGGGATGGGGGCCACTAGCCTACAGTGCTGAGACAAATCTCCAGCTGGAGCCAGAGCTGTATGAATCTGGCATGTGAAAACCAACTAGCTCCAATCGGAGCAACGTGGTCTGATCTCCTGGCTCTAGTACTGTCAAGGTCAGGAACTGCGGCACTGTTTTATCTTCTCAAGGCCACACGTGTTAAATTCACAGTGCGCTGGCACTAAGGAAGGGGCGATGGCTCGATACAACACAGCTGTCTGATATTGTGGAGAAACATCCTGTAACTCTCTGTGTCAAAGTGCTTGTGTTCCTGTTTCCAGGCAGAGGAAGTATTAATACATAATGAGCGAAGAAAATTGTTCTGTATTTAGTGGATACTAGCCCACAAATTAAAAGGGACTTTTAAATTTAATAATAAAAGATTATTTCCATTTTATTTATAAGGAAAAGAGGCTTCAGGGAATTATGCTATCTGCCACTCACCCAGATTTGTCAAGGAGGTGGAAAGAAAAACATAAAAGCTTCAGGAAAAGTTTTCTGAGTGGAACAAAAAGGCAGAAATTAATGTTTGCTCCGAGGAAGAGGCAGCAGTGTGAGTTTAGTGGCCACCTATCTCGTGATGTACCAGCCAATTTGCCAGCATGCACATGCCAATCAATTGGCATAGCTCAGAGCCAGACACAGCCCTACCTCTCATGTGTCAAGTAGAAATACTTTAGGAGAGGGGATTTTATACAAGGGGAGACTTGTGTTGGGACAGCATGGTGCTGAATTTGTAGAAAATAATCTTTACCTGTTCTTCTGTCAAAAAAATAACTTGTCTCTGACACTTTGATTCATCTACCCTCTTACCGCCCCCCAAACCTCCAGATCTCCCCATTGCTCATCCATTAATTGAGCAAGACGTGCCTTGATGTGGAAGGTGCAGGCTGGTGGCAGGTCAAACCCAGCAGATGATTGCTGAGTGAACTCTGCAGCTTTTCTCTTATTAGGGACAATAATTTGGGTCTGTATCTGGCCATCAGTGCTCTTAAGGCAAGAGGATACTGAAGCTCACTGAGAACACTAAGCTGCTGTCAGATGTAGTAGGAGACAAATTGTATGATCAGCTTTTCAAAGGAAACCAGGCTAAAGTAACCTCTACAGTAACACCAGTCTCCTGCATTTAAAATTATTCTTCTGTTTTCATGAAGAATGAAAACTTCTGCACTACAGTAGCACTGCAGTAAACCAGTGCTGTTCATTACGAGGTAACTGTTTTATTGAGAGCTGAGCTTATTAGTCCTGGAAGATTCTCAATACGGCAATGGACTTATCAATTATCAATGCCCGTTGTAATGAACTAACCACATTAGTGATTTTTTAGAGTTCCATTTATTTTAAGCAGCTGACTGGCTAATTTATCTTTGCTTTCATTTTCACTTTTTCATTCTGCTTGTGTGAGAAACTTTTGCTTGGGTTTCGCAAGGCAGCAGGAAAGAATGTGTGCACACTGAATTTCCCCTCAATTCTCATCAGAGGCAAGGAAATCAAGTGTTTTCCTGATTTACAGCCTACTTAATCCCACTGACATTAATTTACTTAAATCTGGGTACATCACTTTTCCAATGAGATCTGTACAATGTGCAAAATTGGAGGGATTGGTTAGGTGCCTTTGAAATAATGGAGTTTAATGTATCACTAATTTTAAAACATGGCTACCTACATCTCTCCTTCATCAATGTTGATGCACTTAGTTCTGGAGGTAGACAAAAAAAAAGGTCATTTCTACCTAGTATATTATTTAAATTCCACTTTCTTTTTTTTTTTTTTTTTTTCTTGTTTCAGTAGTACCTTTGTGCATGGCTTCTGTGCTATGATTCTTGACACATTCAGCCCTTGGAACCTGGGCACCTCAAGAGCTTTCACGGAGATGAACAGCATATATTTGGACACCTGAGGTAAAACAAAGATGTTTATATGAATTAATTGTGGCTGTGAAGTTTTTCAGGTTCTTCACGTTTTTCATGAAAATACAAATTTGGCTGTTGACAGGGGCACAAAGTTTCATTTGAATTGCTGAGGACGTAGCAGGGTCTGACTTGCAGGCCTGCTTAATCTCAGTCCTGTTTGAAGTTGATGGCTGGATTCTTACTGACTGCATTGGCACAGCGACTCTCAAGCACTGAGACTGGTGACAACTCATGACAGTCCATGAAGGCTTCACTTTCAGCTTTTGGATGGACAACTCTAATAAAACCGTGCAGGTTCAGGGCCACAACAGTACAAAATGGAATTCAGACACCATCTTTGCTCCCCAGTGCTCCCCAAATTGCAGAGCAGTGTAAATACATAACTGCACATCTTTTTGATACTAAAAGACCAAGTTCTTTCATTCAGTTCATATTAACATTGCTCAGTAGTCTAGGTCTGGATCAATCCATGCAAGTGAAATTACAGGGACATTAGGAAGATAAATCATGTTTATTACACAAATGCATAAGGCTGAGAAAGGAATAGGATCCCCCATGCAAGACACTGCACTCCCTGCTCTAAAAAAGCTCAGAGCTGGAGAAAAGCAGCTTAATTTACATATACAAAGTGAAGGTGGCAATGTGATAATAGTAGACATGTAGGCTATGTAAGTATGTTGGTGATGTGAGACTAGTTGTGAGAATATAAATGGAAAGAAAGGAGGATTGTTGGAGTAACAGTATCAGGAGGGGAGCAACAGCCAGTGAGCACCGGTGAAAGCTGAGCCAAAACTAGAATGGTTCTGGGGGTGGCTGTCACTCCTGCCTCTGCAGCTGCTCTGAACGGTTGCTTTTTTGACTTCTCAGACTCAGTACCCCCAGAAATGGGGTCTGCTGTCATTTTAGATGTGACCCAGAACATCTCTTGTTTGTTTATTTTTTCTTTCTGAAGTTTCTTTTTAGGTTGATTAAATGCATATTACATTTCCAGTAATGTATTGAAAATATTGCCCCAGATCTTTAAATTTAGGAACCCAAGTTAGGTATCTACAAGTTAATTAGAGCAAACCTAATGCTAGTTAAATCAAATGTGGCTGCCCACAACCTCGTGGATAATGTGACACAAAAAAAAAGAGACGTTTTGATGCCCCCTTGTTTCTTCACTACATCAGCTCTATGCCACCTCAGGATTTATCCTACACTGTGGGAGTTCTCATGTAACACATTGAGCTGTCTGTTTGTTTCTTCCATCTGCTCATATCTGCTAGAGGAGGGATTAGAATTCATCTTGAGGAATCCCCATTTTCTTTTTATAGCTCCACACTGATTTGCCATGGTTAGGGGTTCAGGTATGAGAAACATTACAGGCTGTGAACCACCTCCTGCTCAGCTTTACACCTACAGCTTCTTCTCATTCCCAACAGACTGACGTGTATCCAAGAGGACAGTTTGCTCCTGTTCAGGATATTAGATCTGCACAGCTTGATATTGCTCAGAAATAGTTCTGTACATTTTGGATGCCTGTTATTATGTTTAGGAGTCTCTTAGTAGGAAGACACAGGCTTTTGACAAAATAATAATTCTCCTCTTCATACCCTCAAGCCTACAGTTCCCCTTTCAGTTATGTCCAAACTTGACAGCTGGAACAGAAGAGCTCATCTATTTTCTTTGTATGGAGAGGTAATTTGTAGCTGCATTTTGCCCAAGATGCAGAATAAACCAAAAGGTGGTGCACTTTTTTTTTCTTTATTTCTTGGATCAGAAAAGATCTGTCCCACAAGAGGAAATAAAACAATGTCTGATCCTGCGAAGAAAACTGTAAGAGATAAGATATTATTTTAATAAATTTTAAAAAAAGATCCCATTGCTTAGAAACTTTAGGTATAGCTGATCCAGCTGGGGGTAGGAGAATGCCATAGATGAGCCCATCTCAGTGTCCCTTCCAGCTATGTTTTCTATGATAATATGATTGGGAAGAGGATAATTATCAGCAATATCCAGTGTGAACACAGGAGCAGATTTGGAGTGCTGCCTGATTACAAGGTATTTGTCTAACACTCATCGTCATTGTATGAGAATGCCTTAATTAGCACTGAAAACATTTAGTTACATAGACTATCTCTGGTAAAAATAGATTGTGCTGCTGATGTTTTTTACAGTGCATTAAATGCTAAGTATTTAAACCCACACAGGCACACTCAGGTGTCATCACCTGAGAACATTAGAATCTATAAATCCCTGATTTTCATTTGCAACTGAAATACTAAGAATCATTAATATGAATTGTTAATTTAAGCTATCAACCATACGACAGATTTCAACACAAGGTAAACATCTTCTTCTCAGTAAGGACAAATGATCACAAAGTGTGTTTTATCTACTCAAAAACAGATAATCAGCTTATAACCATTAAGAGGACAAATGATCCTGATCTATTTCTACAAAGGCAGATCCTGTTCTGGCTTCTGAGCAGCTGAGTAGGAGGTATGTATATAAAGATATAAAAAAAACAAACAGGAGACTAGATACCGGACATACAGAACAGATTCCTGTTTGGCTCATATGCTGATTTATATTCAGTTCTCAGTGCAGTTGAGATTATATTTTCCAAATCCTTTGCTTCTCTTCAGTTCATCAAAGTTATTCAAATCTGGATTTTAAACCTGTGTTTCTACAAACCTGACTGGGAGCAGATTCATTTACCTAATGTGAAGGTTAGGCTCAGCACGCAGATTAGGACACCTAAATTTAGGTGTCTGCACGTAGGTGTCTATGTGTGAGGTAGCTGTTGCAGCTCCCATCGCAGTCAGTGGAGGTACCTGCATTTGGATAGCACTCAAGATTCATTGAGCATCTAGATGGTGATTTGAAGGTACGTTATCAGGTGTCTCAAACTAGAAACTGAACTTGAGGTTGGGTATTTATAAAATAGACATCTAAACCTGAGCAGGTATTTATCAAGTGGCTTCCCAGTATAATCAATGCAAAAATGGTCAGTAGAGCTTAGGGTGCGATTAATCTGATCAAATATAAGTGTCTATTTTATAATGAGGTGAATCGTGACCTAAACTCATTTGACTAGCTCTTCAGTTACTCTAATGGGAGCCTAGACACCTGGCTTGCATATAGGCACATACATTGCAGACTAAACTTACATTTGTGTGATCAGTCTGATCCACGTGGCTATGAAATAATCAGATCATCTCATCTGACTTCCTGCATGGAATGGGCTGTGGAACTGAGTTAAGAGGTCTCACAAAAATGTGACCCCACTTACCTAGTGCTTACCCGGAGACTTGGCATGTACCAGGCATTTCCAAGCTCTTCTACAAACTCTATGCAGGGAAGAAAAAAGATTCCTATCTGCACAGCACGTGGGGTTACCCAACAATACCTTCTTCTCATGGGAAGGATTTGGGGGGTAAGAGATGCAGGGCACAACATAATTAAGCCTTTGCACTTCAATGCAAATGTTCCAGAACAAAATTATCAACAACAATAACAAAAAAAAAGATGCAGCCTGTGTGAGAGATTTTCATGATTGTACGGAAAATTCATGATGTATTTTAAGTGTCAAATTGTGTGTCATTCAATTAACTGATACAATGGATACATTGACCATGTCTAAGCACTTTTTATCAACTAATTTTAGTGGAGAGACAGTACAACGAACGAACTCAATTTTCTGTGTTTTCCCAAATGTGTTTTCACCCTTTATCCTAAGTGGGAGCAGCACTTTGTATTTCCCATCACCTCCCCTGCTTCTAATTAAAATTCAGCTATGGGTCAAATCTTTGGCTGGAAAGAGTGTATGCAGACCAGGCTCTGCCTTGTGGTAGAAAGTTACAAAAACAGGATGTATTTTATTTGACTGGAGTGAACTTAGTGGTCAGGGGTCATTTTCATTTAAGAAATATTTTTTTTCTCATGGTTTTCAAATGCATTCTGTCTCTTAAAAGGCAGTGAAAATAAAATGCATTTTTCTCAGCATTTTTTCTTAATGATCTCAAGGCACTTTACTGGCAGTAGTTTGCTCAATCTTGCAGTAGCCATACACAGTGCACATATCACGGCTTGTTTGATCTTTCTCAGGCTTCAGTTTTATTTTCTTCCAGTGTGAGGTAAGCACCTAAGTGCTTCCCAACCTGTAACTATTAAGAGGACACAAACACCGTATGTTATAATGTACTAGATTTTTTTTATGTTACCTTTGTTTTTTCTTTGTACCTCTTCCCAAACTGAGACTTGGTAATGGGTTCTTCCTTTATTTGAGTGGCATGCCACACTTTTCCCTTGTTTTTAGCAACTCCCCAGTGAGTCTTTGATTTGCCCCATTCCATTGATTCCCTCTGAAGTTTTGAAAATTCACTTCAGGAAGATTTCATAATACGAACTTAAGGAAAATAATATAATCTTGCTTTAAAACACTTCCTTCCTCTGTTTTGCTGATGAATTACAACAATTCACAATACCATCTGGCTAGCAACTGGTACAGGACTTATTTCATTGTTTTCAATGTATGTGTTTCTTTTGGTTGTAGAGCACATAAAATGAGGATTCCCTAACTGTGATCAGAGAGCTCCATGCTGCAACGTTAGATCAAGATGTCCCCAAACTACTGGAACTGGGCTACAAACAGCTTTGGAAATCATCTATAGTGTCATAGTGAACTGGAATGTGAGTCCTGTGGTGGAGTATGAAATCGAGGTCTGAATTTTGCAGCTTGAGGCATTTTCTGGAATCAGAGAAAAATGTGCAGAGAAATCTAATGTTATCCCACCTAAGTGGACAATATAGAAACTTAAGCTCATAAATCAAACTCAAAATGAGAAAGGAAACTGTTTGTTGAATCCAGCTTTGTTGTAACTCAGAATAATGGAAATATAGCTGGTCTAGAAGCTTTTATGAACTTTCTATGACCACAGCTTTGAGGAGTCTCACTGAACAGGGTGGGAAGTTGGGTGGTGCTGAGTAAGATAGCCTCCATTCCAAAATCCAAGTGACAAACTAAGCATGGTACAGTTCTGAATTTGACCATGCATAGTCCAGGAGCGTTGTTGATGATATGATGGGGAAGCGCAGCACCTGAACTTCTCATGAGATCATTTGAAGCACTTCATGCACAAGGTGAGTGAGACTACAAGGTTTTCTAGGTCTCCTTTCAAGCATATTTGGTGTACTTGTGAATAACAGAGATTTAATACATAATTTGAGACCTGATTCAGTGTGGATCCTAAGATGGTGCAATTCCAGTGAAATTACATCTCCTTACCTTACACCAAAAGTTCATTTAATTCATTTGTGTGCTGTTGTCACAGGAAAATGAAGAAACAGTCGAAACAGTCTCTAGTGATTATGAGTTTCCCTACAGCCCTTGCTCTAAAGTGCATGTTGTCCTCTAAATGTACAAACTACTTAGCAAGAGAAATTCGCTGTCTGTCCCATGAACAGAGACTAATCTTCAGCGTCAGTGCTGCTCCAGCCAAAACCTTGCAGACCGATGTCATGTTTGGTTTGATTTTTTCATACAGATCTTTTGATCGTCAGCTTTTTCTAATAAGCTGTGGCTTATAATAAGAGACAAAGGCGAGCTTCACATTAATGACATGGCAGGTAAAGTTCTTACAATTTATTTTTAGTCCCCCAAACCATCCTAGTCCTCAGATTTAGATCCTTTAAAGCAACTGTTGCTCAACACATGATCTTTTCTTTCATGTTGCTTCATTTATACATGATCATACAATTTCTGCCTGAACTAGAGCATATCATAAAGCTGTGTCATATTCTTTTAATTTTTATACCGAAGGGTTTCAAATGGAACCTAACATAATTAGATTACGTCTAATCTCTTCCCATTTTGATCCCATTCTCAAGAGTGTTTGCAAAGAAGCTTACTTGAGTCTTAAATGCACAACTTTAAATCGTGCTGACGGTGATAAGGGAAGCACACTCTTACGAAAACATACTGACGTGTAGGACAAGACCTCATGACTTTATGAAATGAAATGGCTATCTCCATTGGCAGTGTCTGTTTAGAGAAGCTTTAAAATCCTTGATAAGTTTTTTTTAAACTTCTGCACAAAACCTGTAACAAGTTGATTCAGAGCCCTTCCCTGTTCAGTTCTCCCCTGAATCCCCACTAACCCTTATTAATATCTGCTTGTCACAGGGGTCCCAAGGAGATGGCATAGCTTCTACTAAGGTGTCAGCCTTCAAGATAAAGTGCAGTTTAGAAGTATTTTCAAAGAGCTATCACCTTCCTGGTAGTATATTAAAAGAGATTATGCGTTGCCAGAGACAGCAAGCCTTGTCAGGTCAGGGCAAAACAACATTTTAAGCCGATTGGCTCATATATCTCAAGGTATGTGTGTCCTTGCACAAATTCACTTTCCCCTCAGCCCAGTATTTAAGAAAATCCACTTTTAATGATGTTGATTGATCCGAAGAATGGTCATATTGAACCCCACATATTATTTTGAGGTTAGGGAAGGAGAAAAAAATCCAAGTGGGATAGTAAATTATTGGATTATAAGAAATCTTTGAGGAAAAAAAGCATTATCTTTGGTGTCTGGTTCCTCATCTTTCCTAAAACTCTGCTTTGCATGATAATTTTGTGACGGGATAATGCTTGTTTACACTCCATGGGTATTTGCCAAACATTTGGGAAGATTTGAGCTGCTTTACAGCCTAAAGCTGGCTTTGTTTGCCAGAGCTGAGGAGTGCCTTTAGTAATGATGGTCTCCCCCTCTAAAGGGTCCTGTGGCTTCTTTACGGGATGAAATTGGGCAACTGGTTCCTAGTAAGACCTGGTGTAAACACCAGCCCCAGCAGGATCTGTAAGTGCATTTCCTTCATCAGCCAGGAATCTGAATTACCCAACAGTCCCCAGATTTGGGCAGTCTTACTGCCAACCATGTGATGGCCCTACCTCTGGAAATGAGCTCAGTTGCTTACGGGTGGGAAACATCCTGCAAGAGCTCAGCCAGACAGCAGTCAGCCTGTTTTGTTCTACTGTTGCCATATGGGCTTGGTCTGGGAAAAGATAAATGGATAAGAATTCCATTTTCCCTGGCAAGCTATTTCTCCTGTTAGAACTTTGTAGGTAAGCTTCACGCTGCTTTAACCTGAACAGGAGACCAACTGAACACGGAGTAGCTCAAGGCAACGGTGGAAGAATGTGCTTCAAAGCCTAACCTGCATCCCTCACTTCATGCTGTGCTATATAAATTCCATATTACATGCAGCCTGGGAAAAGACTGCAAATACCATGCTGCTGGGAAAAAAAATAAAAATTAAAAAAAAATCTTTTATAAAGAGCTTTACCTGAACAAACTGAAAATATTTCTTTTCCATCAGTAATTTACACTTCTTTGTCTGCTAGTTTCAGCAGCAAATGGAAAAGGTCATAAAGATTTAACTTTTGCACTACCTTAGACAAGCAATTACACCTTTGTCAGGATCCACTATTACAGCTTAGAGCATCTTCACATTTTATGACATGCTCCTGTTTTCATTTGCTTGTAACTTGATGAAAATGTATCTCTTTGAAGATTTTGAATTTGTTGGTATCTAATAAGTTATACTATTTCTGTTAACTTTGGGTTACTTCTGACATTTTGGCGGTTTACAGGTGAATGATAATAAGTTTTACTCGAATAGTGACTGTGGTCTGAAAACTGTCTATAAAAGTGTCATGAGATTGCAGGTTCCTTATTGTAACTCTATGTCAGATCTTCAGGGTTTACAAAAACATTATCTTCCAATCATTGTCTTCCAACTGCTGTCCTGGAAAACCACACTAAGGCACACACAAAAAAAATTGAGCTAATGTTTTGTTCTGTTGTGCATTGTTGCCAATAGCAGTTAATCTTCTGTCTTATTTGTTTCTTTTCCTTCTCCATTCTGACTGTATTCTACGTTTCCTTGGTTTGAAAGGTAAATGATTTGATTATAGATTTTCTTCTCTTTAATCTGATCTCTTCTCCTGCAGGATAAGGCTCAAATCTGGCTAGAAAAACACCCCAAATTCATGTTTCAAACACTCCAGTTTTCATACAACCACACACATCTTCCTCAGCCAGGTTTTCTAATTTTTGTATTTTCTATTGTGACGGTTTTCAATTCATTGAAAAACTGCTTGGTATTAACGAGACATTTTAAAATGTAGTGCATCGAGGTATTATGCTTTGTTCTGTGTGTAGTTTTCATAGTTAACAAAAGAAGGCTGGAAGCTAAATCAACATTTAAAAGAAGAGAGAAAGAAATGAGACAATTATTGAAGTAACAGAAGGAATAAGACAGAAGGAGGCTAATGGAAAAAGCCAATAAAAGGCTAGAGGAGACAGAAAATTGGGGGGAAATAAAGGAAGGAGATGAAGAAAATCTGTCCTGACAGACAGAGGGGATGGAAATAGCCCCTTGTGAGCAGTGACAGAAAGCACTGTGTACTTTCCAACCTGATTCACATGGCAGGAGCCACCAGCAGCAGGAAGAGAGACTCGAATCGATGAAATCCTCAAAATCAGAGCTGGGAGACAATAGGACTGGGTGAGGGCAAGTGAACAATCAGAGCCAAAAGGAATGGAAAACAGTATTTTAGGCAGCCAGAAGAATTACAGCTAAGGGCTAACCCCCCTGCTTAGAATCAGAACTTCCACTCCTGATTTAATACGCCTCTTTCTCAGGATTTTCAGTACAAGATGGTGAGCTGATGCTGCCACGCATGGACAGACAAACCTCTGCCTCGTGCGTCATTGCTGCAGAGCGGGCTGGTGCTAAGCTCCTGTAAACATCTACGACAAGATCAAGCAAGTGATGGACCGAAAGTAACACCTGCAGCACAGACACCAAAACTTTCATTTGGGGGAAAACAAACAAAAGCAAAAGCAGCAGGTGGCATAACAGCTGAGTACGTTTAATCTTATAAAATATTGATGCACTTTACTGCATGATACTGGGAAGAATAGCCATCTGGCACCTATTGTTCATAGGCCTATAAGCACTTCATATCAAATCAGATATTTTGAGTGATAGCCTTTGTAATGATGAGAGTAGGTTTTAAAAAGTGACGAGCCTCAAAGGTTGAACAGGGAACTGTTTGAATTTGAGACTAACAGACAGGTTTGGGTTTGTTTGGATACCTGCAGGAGCTTCTGAGCCACTCACTCTCTGGGGTACGTGGCTGTGCATAAATGGTTTATATTTTGACTGACACAGAAAAAATATCAACTCATGCCTTAAAAATGATCTGTAGGCAGGAGTGGAAATGCCATATGCTACGGAAAATATGTTGAGTTCCTGCACCACAGAAGCTAAGCCAAACCTATACAGCACAAACACAAATTGAATAGGAACAGTCCCACACCAGGTTTTAACATTAATTTAGGACCAACCTACTACCTGCTGTCTTTTGAGTCTGCAAAATACCTAATTTTGTAAAGTAAAAGCCATTCTCTTCAGGGCAGCACTTGTGTCCTTATATGAACGTGTAACTTTAGCCCAAAGGTGTTTAAGGACAGGCCGCTATAGCAAAGTACTATGCTCCAAAACTTTCATGGACTTTTAGACTTCAGTTGCCAATTCAAAGCCTACGTCTTTATTTTCAAAGCCATCAGCATTCTGAACACTTGGTCTGTCGGGGATTAAAGCTCCATCAATGAATTGTCGAGGCAGTTGACAGCAAAAGATGTAGTGCTATCTGGAGTCTGATCGCTACCCAGACACACTGCGAGAACTTAGTTTCTCACCTGAAGTGGCACCAATACGCGCGCTGCCTGCAGAGCCGAGCATGTTCTGACGACTTGTGAAGCCCAGGAAGGAATTTGGATGGGTCATCAAATTCATTCCCTTGTCCCAAGGCAAGATTTGAATCTCACCAGGCTGATTTAGCCAGGAATCCATTGATATAGCAAAGGCAGGCTGCAGGCGTAACTAACAGAGAGAAATTTATCTCAATGAGATGTTGCAGTTGGTTCCTATCATCCCACACATATGCTTTGTGTTACGCTTAATTTTTGTAAATGGTGTTTTATGGAAGAGAATGGGTTTCATAAGCCTCATAGCTAAAAAAAAAAACAAAGGGCACGGTACATTGAGAAATAATTGCTGATGAAAATCTCGTATTTTTTACATTATGAATTCTTGTATTCCTTTGAAGTTCAGTAGGATGGATTGTGATGTTACAAGGAATAGGATACTTTATAAGGGAATGCCACTATTCTGTTCTTTTATCTATGGCTTTATGGTATTGCTGCCAAATAATGTCAGTGGCCATGCAGAGTGCTTGGCATCTTACGCCCTATATCTTAAGTGCGGTCTTGACAAGATGAATCATTAATTTGTGGGGGGTAATTTGTGAATATCTTTATTTCTGTGACTCCAGTCACGAATGTAGGTGGCTAGTACAGCATCTGAACTTAAACACAGAGCAGGTCAGCTTTTCAGGTAGGTAACTGGACGTTCCCTGACATGAACAGATACCCCAGCTCAGAATGTAATTCAATGGAGACATCCAGACTGTATCATAGATGGGAGTCTGCAAAGACAGCAGAGACACAGGCAATGCCTCTTGCACGTCCATGAAATGCCCCATAGACTTTTCAGCATTATAAATAATAACGATTGCATATACCTTCACAAAGAACCCTAATAAAAATGGAGCATTGCTGGAAATGCTATCACAGGATTCGTATGTGGGAGTAGTGATAAAACAAGTATGATATCACTGTCAGCCGCTTGGAAAGCTGCGATTTTAGAACCGTTCCACAGCCTAGTTGTAGTATTACAACAGGAAACAATGAGCATATGGGAAACAAAACCGATGATATATAGTTTGAGAATGTATGAAAGAGAGGAGATGGTTTCGATGAAGTAGAGAGCTCCCTGTGGAAGACATTTATCTTAACTAATTAGCCATTTGGGGAGGAAACAAATCCCTAGCTTGAAGAAAGCTAAGCATGTTTTTATATTCCAACAGCTTCTAAAGTTTTAAAAAAGACAATTAAGACTTTAAATTGAAAGGACTCATATCCAACCACAGTGTCCCTCTTGGGATTTATGGATGCTGACAGGCTAGTTAATCGCTATTACTTTCTGAAATGTACTGCAAAGCAATAAATGATTCATATTTTCTACTATTACACCTCCTCAGCACAAGAAGAGAGGAAACATTTAGACAAAAGTGATCCAACCTGCTACTGTCTTGCTACTGTCTTACTACTTTTAGACATTTTCTTCTACATAAAATGAATGTCAAATGCACATACACAGCTCTGTACATTTGCTAGATTCTCAGAGACCATGACGTGTTGGCATGGGTATTTGCCATTTCAGGGGATCCTACTTTCATTGTTCAGGCTATTTTTCCTCCAGAATGAGACAGAACTCTGAGGACAGAGAGTCTATTAAAAATGTTAATATCTGTGGAAAAGATTTAGTGATCTCAGGCTAGCCAGTCAATAATTACTCAGCTCATCTAATCTACCTCGGAATAATGGAGCACTGCTTTCTCCAGCTCGTCGTGAAATATTCTTGTATTACATACTTTAGTAAAAATTAATGTCAGAAGGTGCCAGCCCCCACAACTCATAGTGCAAGTTGTCTGGAACTGCTTATTTTAAAGAGTTTGTCTTTAGTAGATTATGCTAAATTCCTTGGTTAGTATTTGAATAGAAAGCATTTAAATGTAACTATTACACAAACACTGGTTTGTTTAAAACATTCAAAATATTTACCAAGTGTCGCTTTTGTTTGTATCATTACTGGATGTCTTTTAGTACTACATTTTAATTACTGTTTATTTAATCTGTATTTCTAATGTGAAATCATATTTTATTGCTACTTCAAATTCCCTCTTCACCGCAACGCTTTCTTTTTGCTCCAAACCAGCCTCTTTCCGGTAACCACTTCACTGTGGCATTTGAGACATCTCAGAGCGTAAAGCAGCTGTCACATTTCTCTGCTTCTTCCCGTCAGGTTTTGTTTGTAACTCAGCTGAGCGCCCCATGCAAAGCACGGCATGCATACGCATATGGTGCCTGCACGCCCTGAGTGGGAGGACTCCGGCATGGGAAGCTGCTTAAGGAAGGGGTTGGGTTGGCAATGAGGAGCCATTTCTGCTCAGAAAGAGCAGTCAGGCACTGGGACGGGTTGCCCAGGGAGGTGGTGGAGCCACCGTCCCTGGGGGTGTTCGAGGAGAGGTTGGACGTTTTGCCTGGGGACATGGTTTGTGGGTGACAGTGGTGGTAGGGGGGTGGTTGGACCAGGTGATCTTGGAGGGCTTTTCCAGCCTTAATGATTCTGGGATTCTATGATCAAAGCCATCTCTCTTTTGATCTGAGGTGCAATGTGCAATCAGGTTATCAATTTTTTCTACTTTTATGCACGGGCTTGTGGAATTCACCCATAAAGCTGTATTTCCTATCAGTATCCCATGGTAGTGGCTCATCAGAGAGAACCAAAAAAGGGATGGAGTTTTAAAAATGAGGGTCTTGGTAACTTGGGCAGCACAGCCTAATTGGTAAGATGGAAGGGCAGTGGTCCTGCTTCATGTTTTCCACCTTTATTTCTGAGATTCCTCCTCACGCCCAGTGCCACACCAAGGCAGCGGTGCTGGCAGAGCAGGTCCTGGCTTGACCCCTGGAGCCAAACCCCATAACCCCACCACCTTTCCCACCCCGAAACCCCCACATAACCCAGCCGAGGGCCACCCCAATTCACCACCCGACCTCCCCGACCCCTCTGCTTCCAGGGGGGCTTCGCTGAGGACCCCAAAACGGCTGCAGAGGGAGCGGGGAGTGCGGCCGGGGCCGAGCAGCTCCGCGCCTCGTTGCGAGCACAAAATGGCGGCGGCGGCTCCGGCTCTGCCCTGAGGGGACGGCGCCGGCCGGGGAGGGGAGGGGAGGGGCGGGGGCGGGCAGGGTTTCCATAGCGGCGGCCGCCGGTGTCACACCGGGGCGCTTCCTGGTCGGAGGCCGCCGAGCTCCGGGGCAGCGGAGCGGGAGAAGGAGGAGGAGGCAAGGACGGAGGCCCCCGGGAGAAGAAGGAGAAGGAAGGCGGCGAGCAAAGGTAAGGCAGAGCAAAGGTAGGGGCGAGCCGGCCATTGCGCGCCCACCCCCCCCATTTCCCGAAGTGGACCCGGCGGGGTCGCTGGGCGGACGCTTCCATTCGCGGGGCGGCGGGGGGGGGGAAAAACTGCGGACCTCGCCGTTGAGGCGAGCGGGGTGGGACTGAAGTTCCTCGAGAGCCCGGGGGGGAGGTGGGTGCTACCATCCTCCCCCGCGGGGGGACCGCGCTGAGCGCACCCCCCCGGCGGGGTCGGGAGGTGGAAGAGGCGGGAGCTGGCTCCCGTAGGGGACTGAGGTGCTGCGGGCTGTTCCATTCCCAAAGCGGGGGGGTCCGAGTGAGGCAGGACCCTACTATTCCTGCCCGGGGGGGCGGTGGGCATCGTGAGGGGAGCCCTGTGGGGTGGGCGCCATGAGGGGGGTGGCTGAGGGAGCCCCACCTGGAGGTGTCCCGGGGGCTTTATGTGAGCTTTTAGTGAGGCTCCGGGGCTGTGCAGGGGGAGGAGACCCCCCTAAAGTGACCCCTCAGCTTGGGGAGGGGCGCGCAGCCCTGTGAGGGGCTGTGGTGGTCGCCTCAGCCGCCGCTGTGGGGTCGGAGGGGGGGCTGTGAGGGCAGCCTGAGGGGTGTGGGGGCAGCCTGAGGGGTGTGGGGGCACTAAAGGGGGTCGGGCAGCCCCTTGGGGCTGTCACCACACAGGGACTGACTCCCTGAGGGCCTCTGTCCTGTCAGGGTGTCAGGGCCTGGGTGCGCTGTGAGGCCGTGCTGCCACCCAGGGCAGGAGCAGGGAGGTTTGGGGATGGGCAAAGTTTGGGTGTAATGGGACTTCTCGGCACTGCTGCTCATGTACCTGCTGCCTCGGCTGCTTTTCGTAACACCTCAGGTATGTGGGGAAGAGCGCCAGCCTCAGAGCCGCAGTCCGGTGCAGGAGGGTCCTCAGCCCTGTGAGCGGCTTTCCACCAAACTTCGGTCTCTGTGACCCTCGGTCTGTGCTGGGACTACCAGCAAAAGGAGGAAATTATCAGATGTTTGGCGTCTCTGGGCGATGTGTGTGGTTGTTGGCTGCAGGAAACCACCGCAGTGATTGAATGGCAATGGGAGCGAGAGTCAGGTGGTGGCTGAAAAAGCTGTTGCTGAACTCGTGTACCAGCCCTGAGCCTCTACACACCGAGAGTAACTTTCTCTGTGCAGCTTTCTGCTTGGAGCAGGGGGCTGTGCAGAGAGCTGTCTATTAGTACAAAGCTCATTTTTAGCTTTCACTGAGTCAAAGTGGAACAAAAGTGTGAGTCTGCCTTGCTCACGCTGAGCATATTTTGTGGAGGCTCAGTTCAATGAGAACACTTCTATTAACTCATTTCTCTGTGTGGTTACTTAGTTTGATGCGGAGCCTGCAATCTAGGGCTGCTGCGTGACAGTCGAAACTCAAACTCTCGCAGGCATGTGTGTGTTAGGCACGGCGGCCAATCAGCAGTGCCTGAAACCAAAAGCAATTCGCTTGGACGCTTTGTAGTGTAAATATTCCTGCAATGAACAAAGGGGAGGGTGTGCCCTTGTGCTTGTTTCGTTTGTGTTTCTCGGTGCTTCCTCATTTGTGGCCAGTCAATGATTTGGTGAAGGTTCTGAGACAGCAGCAGCCCGACTTTGTTGGGAACGTTGCGTTCTGGCTGTAATGGGCATTTTACTCAGCTAGGATGCTCAGAAGCAAGGTGCGATGATCAGAATTTTTATTGTCTTATTTTGCTAATAGCTGTGCTGTTAAATGGCTTAGTCTTGCTTCTTTGTAGCTTCTCTTGCTACTGATTATAACTTTGGAATTAATTCAGCTGGGATGCAGTGGAAAGTCAGCATTTAGCAGAACTGCCTTCTAACCAGCTGTTCATTTGCCCTCAGTATAAGCATGGACACCAATCATTTCAGACTTAACGTTTTGCCAGCCAGCTAGCTCTAAAGCTTTAAAACACTTGCTTCTGAAATCTCTGGATCTGTTTTCTTTGAGGGGCACTAACGTCTTGGTTTAAAGAAGAAAGTAAAGGACAGTAAAATGCTGCTTTGTGCAGGCAGGCTCCATGTAGATTGTTTTGTCTCTTGTGCGTGCACGTGTGCTGTAAAAACAGTGCAGTCACATGCTGTTCCTTCAGTTTCTGGGTCTTGGGAATCGGGAATATAAATGTTTAGTGTTAGCTCCTTTAGTATCCAAGTTAAATTGCTGCTACAGCAATGTACACACAGACTTGACTTGGATCTTTCACTGACGAATTAAAGGGAATCTCTTTCTCTGGAAAGAGTCACTGTACGTGGACTTAAAATATGCCGTAACTTTCTTTTACTCTGGTTTATACTTGTCATACTGAGAATATTGGGTAAAAAGGGGACCTAGCATCAGGTGTGGAAACAGATAATTGAACGTGTTATTAAGTATGCTCAAACTTGAAATTGTAGGGAACTCTTCCCAATTCCCATATCCCATTGCACTCTTACTTAAAATGCCAGTAGTTTTGCAACTATTGAAGCTGAATACCACGGAGGGCTAGGAAATGTGGGGTTAGTAGGGGAAATACTGGGTTGGATGCAAGGGTTGCTCTTCAGGAACAGAGAAGGTTCAAAGGTTGGTGCGTGGGTTTTTTATGGGCTTGTTAATAGCAAGAGGATGTCAGCTACTGTCTTGAATAAAAATACAGTTTTTCAAGATGGTATCTGTAAGCAGGACGTTCAGCAGGAACATTCTTTCTTTCTCCTGTTGCATAATATTTGGTAGTGTTTGTGCACGGGAGAGAACACCACGAGCATTGAAAGCAATCAGGTGGTTGGTTGAGAAAGCGAAGTGACAGCAGTTTGCTTTCCTAACACGCATCCTTAGGAAAAACTTCAATGTAGTATTGCAATAGAAGGTACAGACTTTCTGGTGCTTGGCAGTGCTGACTTTTCCTGACTTTCCAGTACTGCTTGCTGTGCTCCAAATTGCAGATAAAATAGGAAGCCTTCCTTTTTGGGGAAGTGGGCGCTTTCAAATAGTCTAAGAAAAAAGCCTGCAGGAAAGTGCTCGAGTTAGGAACAAGGGAAACACAAAGCACATAAGCAGCAGTATTTCAAATAAAAAATAAATGTAACTGGAAACTTTTATTGGCTAGTGAACAGGTATTAGCAGTAGCTAAACAAAAGATTTAGAGGCAGAAGGCAAAATTGCAAGAACGTTTTATGTATGGAGGTCTGAGTTCAAGTCACCATGGAATTGAAACATTCACTTCTCATAGTTATGGCACAGTTTTGGGTAGCATATAGCTGCTAGATTCTTCACCACTCGTTTCCGTAGTTTTACGTGACTAGGTTTTCTGATAAGATTAATTATGCTATTATTATCATGAAGTGGTTTTCAGAACTGATGCTTTGTTTTTTCCTTATGAGTAGCCTTTTCCTGTAGATACAGACAATAAACCGTCACCTAATGAGATGTCTCTGAGGGAAGGTTGTACTTACAAAATAAGGTGAGGCTGTACTGTAGGAAAATCAGGTTGAATTGGAGAGACCAGTCTTCCGGTTGTCTCTGCATGAGACTGAAGAACAATTTGGGCTCAAAAGCCGTGTGGAGCTCCAACCAAAAGTGCTTTGGACCTGGGTGGCATGCCGTCTGTAAGGCTCGTTTGATGTTCTTAACATAATAACTGTAATTAGG